CCCCCCAAAAAAAAAAAAAAAAAACACAACCCCACAAACCCCCAAAAACAAAACATAAAATTTATTAACATGGTGGAGACATTACTTGGTGTGTGAACACAGAGAAAATGTGAAAACATTGACTAGGGAGAGGAGAAAATGAGTTGTAGCTCACTGTTTTTCATGATGTTTGAAAACTTTTTTATGTAACTGGTAAGGCCTGCACTGTTTTTCATGCCACTAATGTGTAACTTAGCAGGGAAAGCCACTGTATTTCTATCAGTGTGGACTTGATTACTACCACAGTACTAACACTGCAATCTGTTACGTGGGGTGCAGGGACTGTTGATCCTTAAAGTACCTTTAAGTGGCTGATGTAGTAACTTCTGATAATGGACTCATGGGTTTGAATCTAGAATTAGCCCCATATGCTAATCTACTCTATTTTTTAGGTGGTGATATGTCAAAGAATGTAAACCCATCTCAGCTGGCCAAACTGAACCAACAGATGGCAAAGATGATGGATCCAAGAGTTCTTCATCATATGGGTATGTGCTGACTTTTTATAGCTTCAAGATACGAGAGTTTTGGCAGAGCATTTGAAATAGAGAATTGAGGGATGTCATATGAGAATATCTGCATTATATATCAGTATTAAGTATTTCTAAAACTTTCTAACAATAATCAGAAAGTTTAGTCCAAATGCTCTGCACTTACCAGTGATTAATCTAGTCTTTCTGTTTGGATTCAATTCCCAAAATGAGCAATTGGAATGGTGTCTGGGAATAGCGATGACTTGAGGTATGACTGTGGTAATGCAAATCTGCCTAAACTTCTCTCCCTTCTTCTAAACTTTGCTTCAAGTAATTAAATTTTATAAGAACAGCTTTATTTAAAGACCCTCATACCGGAACCTTACTAATCAATACTGGTTATTCCTTCAAGGTTTTTTCTTTAGTTCTTAATGCACAGGCCATCTTAAAACCTACTTTAAACGTGGTGTTTTGCAGGCCTTTCTGTAATTGGTCAGTCAGTTTTTTACTTTCAATAGCTGTTTAAGCCTAGTTAGTCTTGGGCTTCTGTATTTGTATATGACTGAAATAGTGTGTGTACTTTAATGAGGCCTCGAGCAGGAGAGCTGGGCTTCAGAGTTAACACATTATGTTCTCACTCTCTGCAGGTGGCATGGCAGGTTTGCAGTCAATGATGAGACAATTTCAACAAGGTGCTGCTGGCAATATGAAAGGCATGATGGGATTCAATAATATGTAAAGAAGCCTTAATACAAATGGACTTGGTTGACTCGTCATTGCAACTTCAATGAAAGAATTTGCTTTCTTCCTTTTTACAGTGATGAGGGAGTGGTCTTTTGAAATCTTATCCAGGCTTCTCAGTTTCTACATCTAATTTCTGCAAACTATTTTTGCTTAAATTAGTTCTTCTCCACTAATAACTGATGGCACAAAGAGTAATTCAATTTAATGAAACAAGATCATGATGTAAAATTTTAATATTCAGAGACACTTTTTAATTGTTTACATCAAATGGCAGCCATTATATTTGTAAACAACCCTGATCTTTGGTTATAGTAACATGAAATGTCACAAATATACTGTAAAATAAAATATAAGTGGTTATAAACAAGGGAATGGCCTGTTTTTTCAGTTGTTTCTAACTGTCCTTTATCAGTATGTAATGAGATGATTTCCTTAGTTTGATTTGTTTGTAAAGACTGTTGTAACTCATGTGTGGCATAGATGCTGTAAGAATAGTTTGGTGTCTGAAAATCTGCTGTTGGTGCTCAGGTGTGGACCATTTTTGAAGGTGGATGTGCTGTGCTCACCTTTGTACAAGACTTTGTTCTACAGAATTTTATCATTTTTTCCCTATACACAAGGAACAAAGTGACTGAAAAAATGCAGGTATGCAACTGTCTCATACTGAAGAAAATATTCGTATCGTGCTGCTAATTAAGCAGTTCTTTTGTTAATGAGACAATTTCTGATACATCACAGGTGCAATTCTGTGCTGGTACTGAACTTTAAAACAGAGACAGCTGTATCTAAACAGAGCATATTGCTCCAACTCAGCTACGATCTAATCTTAATTTCCTATAGCATGTCTTTAGTATTTCAGTTCACTGTGTTGGTCACAAAAGGGTAGAATCTACAAGCACACTTCAGAAACTGTGTAGACCAAATGAAACTTGAAATTTTGGCAAATATCCTTTACCCTTAAAGAAA